GAAGGGGAGAGGTGGGTGGGCAGGGCCATTTAGTGGTTCCTAGATCGTGGGGAGGAGTTTGGGTTTATTCTCAGTGCAGTGGAAAGTTCTTAGAGAGGTATAGATCAGTGGAATGGTCTGAGTTTATTAAAAGAAGAGAAAGAAAACAAAAAGAATAACTGTGGCTGTTGTGTGAAGAATTAAATGAAGGGTGTCAAGTGTGGGAGTTGGGGGACCGGTGCAGTCCTTGAGTTTGGGTGAAGGTGGGAGGGATGTGAGAGAAAGATGCTTTGACGATTCGACCAGGTTGTGGTGGGTCCTGGATTTGATTTTGCAGCTTTGAGGGAACTTTTTGTATGTTTGAATTTGTGAGTGAGTGTGTGTGTATGGTTATGAGTTTATTTATGAGATTGTGAGTGTGTGAGTCTCAGTGTGGATTAGTGTGGGGTGCATGTGTGGATTTGTGAGTGGATATAAATATGTGTGTGTGTGTTTGTGTGTGTATGGATATGGGTTTTCTCCAGTTGTAGCTTTTGAATATTAGTGTGGGGTGCATGTGTAGATTTGTGAATGGATATAAATATGTGTGTGTGTGTGTTTGTGTATGTATGGATATGGGTTTTCTCCAGTTGTAGCTTTTGAACAGGCCATTGGCATCTTCCTTAAGGCAGTGGTTCTCAACCTGTGGGTCGCAACCCCTTTGGGGGTTGAATGACCCTTTCACAGGGGTCGCCTAAGATCATCGGAAAACACATATATAATTACATATTGTTTTTGTGGGGAATCACTATGCTTTAATTATGTTCAATTTGTAACAATGAAATTGGGGGTCACCACAACATGAGGAACTGTATTAAAGGGTCGCGGCATTAGGAAGGTTGAGAACCACTGCCTTAAGGGCTGTCCTATGTGGCACAGATTTACATACTGACCTGGGAGAAAGGCTGGTAGCAGGAAGGCCAGTTCAGAGGGTATTGAAATTAGATGTGAAAAAGGGGCGTACTTGGCTAGCCATGGAGAAACGGAAGACTTCATTGGGTAAATCCTGTTATTTATTTTATTCTCTCATTGGGATGAATGAGACTGAGGAGTAAAAGATGACTCCATTAAAGAAGTCACACTCATTCAAATTACCCCAGTTTGATTGCTAGCCAAGTATTTTACCAGCTTTAATTATTTTTAAAAAATTAAACCTCACTTAAATTCATATGCTTGCTTTCTCTGACAGACATTTCGTTAGTGAGAGTTGAGTGATCCCACTGCATCCCACCCAAACTGCCCCGCCTCTGCACACACCCACATACTCGCCTTCTTGTTTACCGTTAGAGTTCTTGATTCTTCAGAAACTCATTGTATTTTCTGTTCCCCCTCAGGACATTTTTGAAGATGCCTTGGACACCATCTCTGCGTAAGTAGTAACGTAATAAACAATGTGTAGTAAGTAAAAATTGATGGCTCTCTTATATAAAATGTAAATTTCCTTTTTGTCTTTTGGGATTAGTGACCAGTGTTGGAAGGAAGTCACTTTTCTGTAATTCAAGAGTTAGGATATGGCTATGCTTAAGAAAGGATCTATCTGAAGTTACTTTCAAATATATTTTTGAGTATTATTTCTTATAACATGAATGAAACTAAGAGAAAAGTACGTTTTCCAACAGATTAAGGTTTAAAAATGTAAAACTAAGTAATGAGTATTTCCATGTGTATAGCTTTGTCATATTCTTGAATTATCACCAAAGATTAACTTCACAGACATAGGATCATTGGGTTAAAAGGGATGCATATGTGCATTGTCCTATGTATGATATCTCAAATTGCCTTTCTGCATGTTATTTTGGGCTGCCGTAAAAAAATATCACAGACTGTGTGGTTTAAACAAGAGAAATTTATTTTCTTGAAGACCTGGAGGCTGGAAGTCCGAGAGCAGGGTGCTGTCATGGTCAGGGTCTGGTCAGAGCACTGTTTCTGGCTTGCAACTGGCTGCCTTTGAGAAAAAGGGAAAGAGAGAGAGAGAGAGAGAGAGAGAGAGAGAGAGAGAGAGAGAGAAGGAGGGAAAAAAGGGAGAGAGAAAGCGAGAGAGAGAATGAGAAAACACACTACCTCTCTGACATCTCTTCTTAGGAAGGCACTAATCCCATCTAAAGGACTCATTCTCAGGATCCCCATCTAAACCTGATTATTTCCCGAAGGCCTCATCTCCCAATACCACGACATTGGGGGTTAGGGCTTCAACATGTGAATTGGGTGGGGGGGCACAATTCAGTCCATAGCACTTTCAAAAGAGTTTTTATCCGTTTACATGGCTACCAATACTGTGTAAGTGAAGTGTTTAAAAATGTATAATCACCTTAAATGATACTAATTATTTTAGATTTTAAAAATTAAAAATTTTGTTTGTCATTGTTTATAACATCGCATTTCCTTTTGTATGAATGCTAGTTTTCTTTTCCTTGTTAACTATTTTTTCAATGTTTCTTATATACTTACTAGAGGCCCGGTGCAGGAATTTGTGCACAGGTGGGGTTCCTCGGCCTGGCTGGTGATCGGGGCCAATCAGGGCTGTCTCGTCCATTCCCAATTGGGTCTGACAGCTGGGGGGAGGGACTGTGGGAGGTTGGCCAGCTGTGGTGGCTATGGGAGCACACTGACCACCAGGAGGCAGCTCCTGTGTTGAGCAACTGCCCCCTGGTGATCAGTGCGCATCATAGCCGCCAGTCGACAGGTTGTTCGGTTGCTTAGGCTTTTATATATATAGATGAACTTTAAAACATATATACACTACTATCTTTTGTCATATTTGCTACAAATATTTCCCCTTCATTGCTGTTTTTCTATGTGTTAGGGTTACAAATTTCTATATTGTCCAAAAGTTTTAATGTTTATGTTGTTGACTGTTTTTAAAAACCTTAATCATGATTACTATTTTTATTTTGGATCAGTTTCAGACTTTCAGAATTACGGTGAAGACAGTAAAGAGAGTTTCTGTATACCCCTCACTGGTTTTCCTTCTTATTAACTTTACATTAACACAGTATATTTGTCACAGTTAATAATCTTATGTGGATGCATTATTATTAACTGAAGTCCGCACTTGATTCAAATTTCTTCAGTTTTTACCTACTGTCCTTTCCCGTCCAGCATCTCCTTCAGGATGCCCCATTAGACCTTGTCATCCTGTCTCCTTGGGCCCCTCTTGGTTATGACCGTTTCTCAGGCTTCCTTGCTTTCTATGGCTTTGACAGTTTTGAGCAATTCTGGTCATTTTTTGCAAAATGCCCCTCAGTTGGGATGTATCTTTTTTCTTCTCATGATTACACTGAGATCATGTGTTTTGGGGAGGAAGACACCGGCCATCCTCATCACATCATATCAAGGCTCAGTGTTGTCAACCTGGCTGACTAGGATAGCACCTCTGATTACCTGGGTGGAGATGGTGTTTGTTAGATTCCTCCCCTGTAAAGTTACCCCTTTTCCCCTTCTCTTTTCATGCTGTACTCTTTGGAAGATGATCTGTTTATGTGACACTAGAGACCCGGTGCACGAATTCGTGCACCAGTGGGGTCCCTCAGCCTGGCCTGTGGGATTGAGCCGAAACCAGCTCTCCGATATCCTCTGAGGGGTCCCGGATTGCAAGAGGGCGCAGGCCAGGCCGAGGGACCCCATTGGTGCACGATCAGGGCCCGGGAGGGACGTGGGAGGTTGGCTAGCTGGGGAGGGACTGTGGGAGGGCTCCAGGGCGTGTCCAGCCTGTCTTGCTCAGTCCTGATTGGCTGGACTCCAGCAGCAGTTAACCTACTGATCTGAGCATCTGCCCCCTGGTGGTCAGTGCATGTCAGAGCGACTGGTTGACAGGTCGACTCTCTGCCCCCTGGTGGTCAGCGCACATCATAGCGACTGGTTGTCTGGTCGACTGTCTGCCCCCTGGTGGTCAGTGCACGTCATAGCGAGCGGTTGAACGGCCTTAGCATATCATTAGCACATGACGCTTTGATTGGTTGAACGGCCGACCGGTCTACTAGACACTTAGCATATTGGGCTTTTATTATATTGGATTATTTTTACAAAGTCACTTTTAAGGTGAGGGTGTCATCTGCCATCCAGAAATCTTGTAATTATTCAAGTCTGCGGCTTCTGGGCCCTCTGAGTGTCTGGGACTGAGCTGGGCTGTAACAGGAGACTGTAGTCTAGGAGGTAGGAAGGGGTCAGGCTGCAGGCTGGTAATTGGAGTTCACCAGCAGAGGCTCTGCTGATCCCAATGGGAAGAGACACACACACACCAGAGAGGGGTCCGGCCTAAGGGATGAGAGCAGGTCAGACGTCCTTGCTGTGACCAAGGGCAGCACGTTTTCCCTGTGTTTCCCTCAGCTTTTACTGGCTGCGTTACACTGGCAGAGACATGACCTTTGGGTCTGTAAGGCCTTGTTAGCTATTTTTAACATTTATTGGTTTTTTAAGAAATCAAATCCTAGAGGAACAAACAAACAAGCAAAACTCTGAACCTGACATCCAGTTTCCGGTTTCACATGTCAGGAGCTTGGAAGTTGCCACTCTGTTCTAAATGTGGCAATTAAAAGACAGAGATTGTCAGAATGGATTAAAAAAAAACATGACCCAACTATATGTTGTCTCTAAGGAACTCAGTCTAAATATACATATAGATCAGTGGTTCTCAACCTTCATAATGCCGCGACCCTTTAGTACAGTTCCTCATGTCATGGTGACCGCCAACCATAAAATTATTTTCGTTGCTACTTCATAACTGTAATTTTGCTACTGTTATGAATTGTAATGTAAATATCTGATATGCAGGATGTATTTTCATTGTTACAAATTGAACATAATTAAAGCATAGTGATTAATCACAAAAACAATATGTAATTATATATATGTTTTC